TTACCTGTACATGAATGCCAGTTTATATTGGCTAAACTTGTGCATGAAATGAGAAAACAAGGTGTCTGGAATAGATGTACAATGTGGACAGGAAAACTGAAATGGTTTATTACTTTTTCATAACAAGTTGCTAGTTGTATCTGGATGCTGACATCCCATCTAAGGGCCTACAGCTTGAAATATTAAAGATGATCAGTGTGAGGAAATAAGTTCTGCTGAGTTATGCCAGGTCAGCTGCTTTAATTCCCTTTTTGCCAGGATTAATTCCTTCCTACTGTTTTAGTTTCCTTGCAGAGAATTAAATGAATTTTCAATTAGCTGGGCAGAGTTATTTATAGAATGTTTCTGAATTTGGTCGGGCTGATCAGAGTACATTTACTCTTGTATGAGATTTCAATGCAAATCAGACAAGCTTCTGATGTTATGGCCCTTTGATCATCATAGTGCATCCTGCATACAATTACACCGTGCGTAGCATATCCTAATAAAGACTGCATTGAGTTTACAGTTTTTCTCGATTGCTAACACACTAAAATGCTACATAAAAGACTAATTATTTTAACTGACACTCAAAGAGCAAAACATCGGCTCAAATCTCCAAAACTCTAAACACGTTCAGCTTTTCACACAATTTGCAAATCAACATGGCACTTTTTGCAAACCACTGCACACGTTTCTCCACGTAAAACACAGGAATCTGACATAAAGTCACGTGTTAGCAAGGTTTAAAACACTGATATTCAAAATGCCTCACACATGGACCAATGATCAAGAAACACGTTCCACCTGACCAAACACCTGATAGCATAATTGTTGGCTCATCAATCAGGATGTTAGCACTATAAAAAGACCACAGGTGAGTAATTTCTTACAGCAACAATGGAAGCCAACATGGAAGCAAGAGGAAGAGGTGGGTAGAGGAAGAGGTGGGTGAGAGTGAGAGGAGGAAGAATGAGAGGTAGAGGTAGAACTGGAGGGAGAGGACGTTCAGAGGGTTCAGCCTAATCTAAGCCAATTTACTGTTGCCTCTGTAATCCGGACACTTAGACTTGAAAACAGGTTAGTTACCAGTTTTTAGCTCTGCATAATTCATGATATATCAGTACTTATATCTGTTGTGTGAAACGTATTTACTTCATTACTATAATTGAATTGTTGGCATGTTGCATACTATAACTGTACACAAATCCTGCACAATGTACTGTGGTAAACTTACTTTTATGCAACACAGACACTGACCAGCCACTATGTCTTTGATGTTTATCTGAAGGACTGCAAAAAAAGAAGTAAATGGACTGTACTTATATAGCGCTTTATCCAGTCTTTAAGACCCCTCAAAGCGCTTTACATACTACATGTCATTCACCCATTCACACCCATTCATACAGAGCAGTGTACCTTACTCTAGGACCTAACATTCACACACATTCACACACCGTTGGCCATGCCATCGGGAGCAACTCAGGGTTAAGTATCTTGCCCAAGGATACATCGAAATGTTGACTGCATGGGCTGGGATCGAACCCACAACCTTCTGGTTGAAAGACGACCACACTCCCTCACAGCCACAGTCGCCGGTGCAGGTGGAAGGCCAAGGATGAGGCACAGGAAGCAGCAGCTACAAACTGGGTTTTGGCAAACAATGCCATCACACTCAGAGAGATCTGAAGCATAGTAACTATGAGCTGTGTGCATGTTGCACAATGTTATTTTTGAATAAAATGTGATTTTTTTCCAACAACTCATTTATATTTCTTCATTTACTGTATTTCTGTAAACTCAAGCAACTTTCTCTGCAGAAACCTCTATGTACAGAGCATAGCCCATAAAAGATGAAAGTGCTTTAGATTATGCTCAGCAGTGTGTAGTTGGGTGGTCAAACAATCCAGTATTATGAATGAAGTGTGTTATATTTGGTAAGTGTTTATGTAGTTTTGAGTGCAGTTCTTCATTTCGCAGGAGAAATTAGGTGTTTTGCACTTTGGGTGTGGGGTTTTGTGAATTGTATTTAGTGTTCTGAGAAACTGAGCAATAAAAAAAAAAATGTGTGTTAGCAATCGAGAAAAACTGTAACAACTAACATGAATAAGATGAGCCATTAAAACACGTTTCAATACTGCTTTTTCAGAGCAGATAACTGTGAAACTACATATTGGCTCAACGACGGAAACCTTCAAAAATACTAACACGTTGAACTAAGAACCTTAACACAAAGAACAAAACATCTTTCCTTAGTGAACCATCTCTGCCTTTAGAAAACAATACAAAAGCTCTCACTTGCATCAGATGGCGTTCTGATGGGTGTGATTATAACAGGAAGGGTGACATCTTACAGTGTAGTTGAGACAGCTTCACAGAGTCCAGAGAAATATAACCAACATGAACGAAGGCAGCAGAAGTTCAGCAGTTTTAGTCCAGTGTGTCAGAGGTTGAAAAAGAAAACTGGAGCATATCTCAACTCAGCCTCACTGCTTGGCTGAGTTGCTTTGTCTACGTGCTGTATCTTTTCAATTGATCTGGAAATCTTCTTCCTCATCTTCCAGCAGGTTAGTCCATTTTGAGCTGCTGCTGCAGAAACAGCACGTCTGGTTGACCATGAGCTTTAGTCCTATGACTTGTTTGCTCACGGTACACCGTCTGTTGCATTTCCGGCACGTCTTCAACAGCTGAAGGAGGCACTCTATATCAACAATGAACTCTGATGAGCTGAGGGAGATAGAAAAGACACAATTCAATGTATAATGTAAATAAAGTAATGGATTGAGAACATCTTATGAGAAAGGTTCAATTTAACAGTTTAACATCATCACACCTCCCCAAATCCACCAGGTAGCGTCCGTCTCCCACACTTAACGAGGTGCTGAATTCTTCATCTTCTTCAGTATCTGTGTGGATTCATTTAGACCGTCATCAGTTATGACTTCACCTTTTCCTGTTAACAATTATCTTGCAATCTTTTGACTTTTTTCTTTGCTAGTGAAGGGCTGTGTTTATGTGACTCACCTCTAGTTTCTGACTTGAGGGTTGTCGCACACTTATCTTCAGTATTTATTGATTGACATGAGGCATCTTTTGTCCCTGACTCCTTCAAATGGGACAAGGAGCAGCAAGCATCGTCATGTTGCTTAGTCAAAAACAGGCAACACAATTGGTGCTGGAGAGAAATTGTTTGTATAGGAGATGTGAAACAATCGTATTTACCTTTTCAGTTTCAGGTGTCTGGACAGAAGGAGCAACGAAGGTATCTTGCTTGACTTCATTTGATAAACTAAAAAAAGAAGCACCAGGGTTTACAATAAACTACCTCATGTCATCCAGCAGGGTGTTGTGTTGACATGTCATACTAGTATTCATTATTACTCTATAATCCAAATGTACATGAAAAGGCAAAACATGTCAGCAACACTATGAGGAAGTGACAGCTGTGGAAGTAAAAGTAGCAACAGTGTAAACAAATTGTAAATAATACAAAAGTATCTGTATACAAATATACTTACAGTACCAAAAGTAAAAGGTACACATGATGTAGATTTTCTTAGAATAAAATATTACTAATACTAAATATATATATGATATACTATTGTACTGTTTATTTATTGAAAGTTGTATTCATTTATTAAAGTAAAGGACAAGAGGCTCAAACCTGGGATTAAGCAGCTTTTGCTCCTTCACAGCAGGTTCAGGAGGCTCTGAGCGGGTTTCTTCCATTTCTTCAGTTTCTCACTTTTGGAGGGCTGTCTGCTATTAGCTAAAACATAATAAATAAAGGAAAAGCTGTTTAAACAAAGTCTTTAGCCATAACCACATTTTACATAAATCTACTACTGAATGAAATCAATGTATTTATGAAAACTATTCAATATTACAGCTGATAAATTAAAACTAAGTATATTAACTTCATAATGTGTATATAATTACAAAACTAATTGACATATTCATCAAAAATGTCTCACTAAAAAGTTGAAATATTAATTAAAATCATATTTAAAATAAGTTTCCCCAGTTTTCTACTTTATATATTGTTTTTAAAGTTAAACCATAGCTTACATATTGAAGACACATACATTTAACAACAAAACAAAAAGGTAAACAAACAAGTCGCATGGAAAAAGCTAAATTATTATGCTGATTTATTGTAAATTAGCTAACGTCAGAAACCACTCAGTGAGCTCAGATCACGTGTCTGTCTTTCGCGCCACTGAATAAAACCACTTCCGCCTCCTGTTATGACGCAGCGGGAAAATCATCTGCGTGTATCGGAGGGACCAGTTTAGTAGCTTTACAGCCCTAAGGTCCTAACAGCGAGACCCCTCCTGAACTCCATCCTTATGTCAGGGATATAACACTCCTGTGTAAAATGATATCTTCACAGCACCGTGTCTCAGTTACAGAAGCAGCGCTGAAGCCCTCTCTTCGCCCGCACACAGCTCAGCCAGGCGGGGAGCACAGCTCCGTCCCTCCCGGTTGAAACAGTGCAGCCGGTGTCCTGACAGGCCGCAGTTTACACAACCCACATACATACACAATATTTCACCATGGTGAATTGAAGATAAAAATACGGAAAGATATCATCTTACTCACTAAAAACTGCTAACACGTTACCAACTGCACCTCATTTGAAGCTACTAGGCTAGCAGAGTTAGCCACTCCCCCTTTTTACGTAAAATGATGCCATGTTTACGTGACTTTTTCTCTGTATTTCTGTGAAAGGCTATACGAGGTGGGAGAAGTACTCAGATTGTGTAGGCTACTGTAAAAGTAGAAATACCAAAAGTTAGGAATACTCTGTTACAAGTAACAATACTGTATTCAAAAATGTTACTCAAGTAAAAGTACAGTGTTAAAAAGGTGTAATTTAAATTACTCAACTTACAGAACGAAATAAAGTAGGTCATATAAAACATAATGCTGTGGTCCAGAGCCAAGTTTATATAATAAATACATCAATTGAATCTTCTGCTCAACTTACTCATCAGAACAAAAGACAGTAGTACACGTGGTTCTATAAAACATAATGCTGTGAGGTTCAAACAGCATAGTTTTATTGCTCAGCTTTCTGCAAGGGTACAAGAAGTGTATTACTTTGCTTCTTTATTGTCCTTATGTACAGGTGTCAGTTACAAGCTCACAGAGCAGCTGATGTGAAAAACTATGAACACATTTACTGTAATAATAAATACAAAAACAGATAGGAAATCAAAAGAAATAAAAACATGGTGCAGTTTAAAAAAAAGATTTCTGTTTTGTACTGAATTCAATCAAGTCATACACACACACACACACACAAATTTGCACATAAACCTGTACATTTGCACTTAAAAGAGTAGGGAGAGAGTTAGCTGAGCATTGTTCTAGTTTGTAACCAATTAAACCATCATTCAAGAAAATCCTTTTGACCAGAACTGGCTCTCAATCCATTTCAACAATTCATCAGATCAGTTAAGAGTAGACAAATATCTCTTTATATCACAGGCGTTCAAAGCTTGGCGGCTTAACTGGGGAGATTTCCCCTCGTCTGGAAGCTCAAAACCCCCACAACTTTTGCACTGAAGACTGAACCAGCCAGAAAACTTTGTGCCAACAAGTAACAAAGAGTAGAAGTGGACTGTGTGCACTGGACAAACATACATGTGTGCATATCAAGATCATGTGTGTATTCATATATACGTTATCTACATAGGAAAAAAAAAAAACCTTAACCAGTCCATTAACTATTTGGTAAATAGAAGGAAGTGTCTGATTATAACTTGGAGCCCAAGTATGCATAATGTGTGCAAAAAAAGGTGTAATGCATTTATCTTCTGCCTCTGAGTCAGGTTATTAAAGGATCAATCAAATAAACTCTCTACAACTGTACAAAGACAATTTCATGTTCAGTTTCTCCGTTTTGTCTCATGATGACCACAAAATAAAATGTTCTGAAAATCAGCTAACAGACTGTTCATGGTTACAGATAAATGCAGGCAGTATACATATACAAAAAAAAAATAACATTTAAACAAATTTTTCCAAGTCAAAACGTTTTTTTAGAGTATTAATTATGCAAATAAATAGGCTTTAACTCTCGAGCGTCCATTCATGCAGAAGGGTTTCTTTGGATGGGCAGAGGCCGTCTTAATGTTGTGTTTCCGACTTTTCACCATGTAGCACCCCGGATATCAGCAGCCGACAACCTCAAACATTTGAAGCTCTGAGGGTTTGAGTCCGCCGGCAGCATTCAGTCCGTTTCCTTTATTTAAAGAAAATGTATGTTGCAGTGACACAGACCCCCAGAGCATCACATCTGGCCATTCATGTCCTCCTATGAAGGCATGTGTGTGTTTATAAGTAAGAGTGATTGACCAAAAGGAAAACGTCACTTTAAACGGTGGACCTTTACACTATCATGGGTTTAAAGAGCCTCTGAAATATATTTGCCATTACAACCAGTATTACCCCTCCTCACACACACTAGCCTAATAAATGTAAAAAAGTAAAACAAGGGACAACTTCACCTGAGAATGCAAAGAGATCTGTGACAGACACCAACATGCTTGCATTTAAATTGAACAGAAAGAACAAGCAACCATATACAAAATAGCTATGTATTTGTACATATATACTCAAAAGTTACAGGTGTGTAGATACTCTGTATATTTCTTATGGAGTCCAATAGCAAATTAAACATGATATATTTTTTATCTAACGTGAAGAAAGCACTCCTGCAAGCCGCTGCTCAGTTTGTAAAGTGCTCTAAAGTGACGAGAGAGAAAGAAATACTTCTGCCTTTTAAACTGACGACGAGACTAACAATGGACGCCTGCCTTGAATAGCTTATTTCAAGCCTGGTCCCTTGGACAGTTGTGCCCTTTTCACATATGGTCTGACAGGAAGTGTGTTGGGTGATTTTGGGTTGGATTAAAAACTAAATGCAAGAAGAAAAAAAGAACATGCATCATTTCAACTGCTGGAGACCAATGAGTAGAGAACAGGAATACAAACCATGCTCAAAAAGAGTTTCAATCAGCATCCTGTGAGAGGATGGGAAACTCATCTTTAAACTTCCTAGCATACTTATGTTTACACATGCAGACACACATTTACAAGAGCTGTGGCCACACTGCAGTGATTAAGGGAAAACAATTATATTCACACCTTCTTCTTCACCAGAGTCTGTCCCTCTAGCTTAAAACAACCCACCACAAGCTCCAATCACAAACGCAACCAAACATCAGACCCACATCCAAGTAGAGCTCTACTTCAAAATGATATATTCACACTTTGAATTGTTTTGGATGGTTATGCAGTTGAGACATCGCCGCTAATATGGAAACCTAGTTTATTATGGAGCATTTTAAGATGAAACCCTTCAAATATCGAAGCATTACAGGCGAGGTAGGATGAATGTGTTGCCTCCAACAAGAGAAGCACACACACTCTGCAGCCATGAGGAGTGGAAGCTGTGTTGGTGGAGGATCAGATGCTACTATGGGCAAGATATGGCTACCTGCAGTGTTAAAGATTCAGTAGCATGACATGAATCAATCCGTTTGAAATGCAAAACGAAAGAGCGACTCAATGCTCTCAGTTGCCTGGGGAGAAAATATGTTTTGTTTTAAACTCTAAATTATTAAACTACTTCCTGATTTGATTAAGATCTAAAATTGAGATGACCAGGCAGTAATGTTTGTCTTTCTGTATAAACAACTCGTAGCTCTCTGTATTTTGCACAATCTACAAAAAAACTAAACAATTAAATGACGGGGTGAGTAGCAGCTGTTCAAACAGAAATCGATCAGGGGAGAATGTGGAGAGCGGTGAGGGCAGACTGCAGGCTGGTCAAAGACGCTCTGAGCGAGACATCAGTGTGTCTGTACATTTTCACACACAAACACACTCTCCAACGTGTCTCTCATTCCACTGCGAAGCCACAGGTCTCCTCGATCGCAGTCAGCAGCTTGTCGTATAGCTTGTCGTAGCTCTCGTAGGGCGGGATGTCAATCCGGTTGAAGCTGGAGAGAAAACAAAGAGAATACGTTCAAATGGGTGACGCTAGGGGAGAGGTATCACTTTTATGCATGTGGTTGTGTTTGTGTGTGTGTGCATGTGACACACACCAGGTATGGGCTTTGGGCAGATTGTTGGCGTTTGCATCGATCTGATGAATGGTGAAGAGTCTGGGCCCTGCAGCTCCTGCAGACAAAACACAAACAGCATGCATCAGCTGCAGTTCAGCATCAAGTCCCACTGTTCATTTACCCACCAACAATTGATCTAATAAAGGCCTGACACTTTTTACAAGGACAATTTAGCCTCTGTTCCTTAAGCCAGATGGCTGCTTTTCTTGGTCGAAAATATGCTCCTGAAATGAACTGTGGCCTCAGATTGGTAAAATGTAAACTCAACATAAAAACATAGATTAATCTAAATGTTTATTTTAGGATTTAACAACAATATTCTGTCATAATTGGAGCATAATCCTTTTCTGCATATATCGCATATATTTCAAACTTTCAAAAGACCAAGGCTACCACGGTGAAGTAACCAACTAAAAATAATATCAGGGTACAAGGTATTCAACTATTAAAATGATAACGATTATAATTATTATCAGTTACAATGACCCTCAAAGATCAACCTAATACCAGTATGTTGTATAACCGAAGAATGTTAGTTGACATGTTGCCAGAACTTAAGCGTAAAGGTTATTACAGGGACAGAGACAGAGGCTCTAAAATAAAAAAGAGAGCCCAGAGTCAGAGGAGTACCTTGTAAAGCCTTGAAGCCCTGCAGGGGCACTCTGGAGGAGCCGGTAACAAACTGCAGCAGCCGGGCCCTCCTCTCCTCGTCAAACGTCTCCACGGCTTTCCAGAACCACTTGACGATGTTGGTGTCGGTGGTGCAGTGCTTCAGACGGGTGTTGGACTTCCAGTCAGCGATGTCGATCTTTCCCAGGCCACACACAATCAGCTGAGGGGAGACAGACACACACATATCAACTTGAGTTCATACTCTACCAGAAAACTGTACCTGGAATATTTCTTGTATTTAAGAAGATGTAATAAATGATGGTGATCTTGTACCTCCAGTTCTTTCTCATCAAAGGATTTGAGCAGGTGTTGTGGGATAACCTCGTTGAAACCTTTCTGCAGAGCCAGAAACTGAGCCTCGATGCCATGCAGGAAACGCCAGTTCACATACAACCTGCAGAAAACACCAGAGGAATGAGACCGTTAGTTTATTTAACAATTGTGGGACTGCAAATACAGATTCACCACGACTCACAACTAATGACAATACGACAGATTGGACTGTCAAAGTGTGAAAACCGTGTTTCTATGAAGCCTGTCAGCTGAAACTGAACTTATTGCTGGCGAATTGTTGTCATTTTTTAAAATTTGTTGCAACCCTCTCCTTACCTGACATACTCCTTCTTGGTGTCCTCTGTGACGTTCACACTCTTGCCGTTGGGTTTGAGCTCATGTTGGATGATTTCTCCGTAGGCATTGTGCTCCACACAGAAAGTGTGGTCCAGGACGCCGTTTATGTCATTGTCCCTGAAGAGGAGAGAGAGGGCGGGTTCATTTCTGAATCAGCAGGAATTATTTCTCGTTGCTGTTTTTTAGAATGAAGGCCAACAAAACTAAGAAACACAGCAGTCTTCTACGCTCCTGCACATGTGTTTCATAGGAATTACTTTTGGCAACTGGTCGGTTATTGAGTTTTGATGATTGTCTTTGACACATTCGAAATAGGTGACATTAGATTAGGTAAGGATTTCTATTAAAAGAACATTGTGTGTGTGAAACTCATTGCATCCAAACATCTAGCAAGGGTGTTCAATTATATAGATGGCATTAGCTTTACTGGCAGCAGGGGGCGCCACACTCATTAGAATGTATTAAATGACAGTACAGTCAGGTCTATATGTCTTTCTGAAGTATATCATGTCCCTACAGGTCTGATTTATATATGTATGATTTTCTTTCCTGTACCAGCTGTAAGCAACCACTTTCTAAAGTTATCTTCTAATGTGAAAGCATCTGTAACAGCTAGGAAGCTACTCTCCTTCATAGCTTAGCGTTGTTGTATTAGCATACAGTTAAAGAAGAGATCTTTAAAATGACGTTCTGTGTAACCTGCATTTATACCTGCTTTGACAAGTACATTTAATTAGCAAATCGTGTTAATACCAGTTTTATAATATACGTTTCCTATAATTTCGTGTTGCCAGGGAAATCATTTAGAGAATAATGTATGGCCCGGTATAAACAAAGTCTTACAGGATCCAGACGAGGCTGTTGTGGAGGTCGGGGTCGACGGACTCCATGTCGTCCAGCGTGATGGGTTTCCCCAGCAGCTGTTTGTAGAAGGGCAGAGTGAAGCCTCCGTCGATGTAGTGGCCGTGGAACACCGCCATGCCCATGATGCGACCCACGAAGTGGAAGTACGACAGGTGCTCCTGCGCATCAGACAGGGATATTAATATGAAGGCTTTCATTCATATCCTATCAGCTTCTGTGTTATGTAGTATATGAAGATTCACATTAATCAGTTTCAGTCTTTTACTAAAGTTTTACCCAGGAGAGAATCATTGCTCTCTTAGACTTCATCATTATTTACAGCATGTAGAATAATCTCATTTGTTCACATATTGAGCAAAATCCAAATACTAAAAGAAATATCTAACATTTTAGAATTGTAGTCACCTTTTTCAAATCCCATAAAATGTATGTTGTGTCAAATTGCTGCCCTTTGCTGATCATTTTAAAAACCAATTGTTGTTTATTTCACACGGTTTGTAAATATTCCCAAAGGAAGAAATGTTCGGTTTATGACTGCAAATGAAGATTTGCTTGAAACACAACTTATTATCAAATGTTAGATGCATGTTAGAAAAGCGTAATAATTGGTACCGGGTTGACAGCAGAGTCCGGGTTGATCTGCAGAGTATAGATGTCGTCTCTGGAGTACTGGAACAGGCCGTAGTACGGGTTCAGCATCTCGTGGGACAGCAGGTATAACCATTCCCTAAAACACAAAAGATTGAAATAAGCATAAAAACATATTTCCTGACATTTAAAACCATTGAAAATAAACATGTATCTAAATACCTTGCTACCCCGCCATAGTCCAGTCCCTCTTCTCCTCTGAATTTGATCATCAGTCTTTTCCAGAGATCTTTCGGACGCATCTTCATCACCTGCCGGTACGACTCCTGCGATTCAAGACATACAGAACATTTCAAACGATGCACAAACAAGACCTTAAATAGAAAGCAAGACTCCAACATGTCGTCTGATGGACATCTCTACTACCTTAATAAATAGAGATATTGTACTGATTTGAGGTTTGCTGGAGTGTAAGCAGTTTTGAGGAGAACCTGGTCATATGTTACAAATTGAAATTACAAAAATAATGTCATTATTATTGGTCACTGAGAAAAAATGAAATGATAAAGGTTTCTTTTCCTATTTTTTCAAATACAATGGGATAACATACAAATACTTTGTTGCTCTGTACCAGTCATTTCAGTTCAATTGAAAATCCTTTAATTTAAGAAGTACAAGAGTGATCAGTGTTGAGTACTGACGTGAGGTTGAAACTGCAAGTTCGTTTTTAGGATTTTAACCCTTCATCTCATACTTTAATACATTTGTTAGGAAATAAATCAAATGTGACAAGTTAAATCTCTTTATGAAGTAGATCAAATAGTAACTCAATTACAACTTTATACTATTTAGCTTTAGTAAGGGTAACTATTTGTTCAATACATGTTTCTAACATTTCATATTGTATTATAATACATTCATACCAGAGCATCCTGGCAATCCTGTCCTTGCATCTATTCATAGTAACTCTTCCCCAGTTACAGTTAAACAAATAGTCAGTGTTTTCCTTTTTACATTACACAAGAGTCATCTCTGTGTCTGTCCTCTCACAGGGGTGACAGACAGAGACCCTGCCACAGTAAACAATCTGTCACTGCTGCACAGACTGGAAGATTACACTCAAACATTTCAGATACTCTAAACCACATGTGTCAAACTCAAGGCCCGGGGGCCAAATGAGGCCCGTGGTGGATTTAATTTCGGCCCGCAGGATAATTTCTAATTACTATTAGATCTGGCCCGCCGGTATATTGCACGCACACCTTCACTCAACCCTGAGGATTTCCTCCGCTCAGAGCCTGAGCCCAAACATTGATGAACTTGCACCCAAAAAGGAGATGCCAAGTATCTGGCTTGAACTAGCATCACAGAAGCACACTGAGTTTGATGGATGTTTCCTTCTGCACTTTTGTTCTTGCGACAACAGGGCATGTTTGGTTTGTTCTTTGAGGGGAATAGTTTTTTTTGAAGCTGTTTTTGGCCTTTGGAAAAATGTAATCATAAGAAATGACTCCGGAAAATCTGCAGATAGAGCCATAAGAAATGAATGCAACTGATTATTTAATTTTGTTTTTATAGGCAATAATTTCAGCTTTGTTAGTTCCAGGTTTAATATGTGCAATAAGTTAATTTCAATACGTTTTGCAATACACATTGAACCTCGACTAGTACCCATTTTTTTATTTTGGCCCACTGTGTATTTGAGTTTGACACCCCTGCTCTAAACGATAGTGATTAAACATGCATTGAACTGATTATGGAATGTGCACAGAAGAAAATATTTCCTTTGTGTTAATCGTTTGTCAACTTGTGGCACAGAACAAGTGTGGATAAAGAAATCAGACTAGAATAATTCTAAGTGCATGCACACCGTGCCAGAGGCTAACTGAAGCTCTGGTTCCTGCACGAGAAAACCTCAAGTGGATTTGCAGAGCTGCTTTTCACAGCTGTCACGTTGAAGGGCGATGAAGTCATATTTTTCATTGCTCAACTTGTAGTTATGAAGTTATGTCTGGCCACGAATACTTGCCACTTCTGCCCTTAGCTCCTTCCCACCCTCCCCTCTCCTCCTTCCCCATCTCTTTCACTGCTGAAATCATCCAGAAAGAATGCCTTGCCTTGGTAGAACAAATGATTGGGAGAGCAGGAAAAAGAGAGACAGAGGAGGAGAAGGTGTTGTTGTGGTGTTGTGAAGGCCTTTCTGTTCTGCTTTTCACAGGGAATAATAAAGCAGTTTGGAGCAGTGGTTCTGGTGCACGTCGTAAATGGGGTGAAAAAATGCTAGTGAAATGAAGAGATCTGGGTTTGTGAGGAGTCAGTTTTAGTTTTCAGGGATTTTTGGGGTTTGCATGTCAGCATTTGATGCTTTTGTGAATGCCAGATGGGGAATTTTGTGCACACATGGTCAATGTACGTTATACAAATTCAAGGGAAATTCTGTGTTTGCATTCATGTATGTGCACATGTTTGCAGATGCCCTTCATCAGTGAGCCACATGTTTCCCTTTATGGTTTAAATCACACCAGGAATTTCAGGTTAGGGTTTCTCGTTTACAAGGTTCGAGGAGATTTTGAAAATGAACACCTGCCCTTCTGAAGTGAAGCCTTTCAGACAAATACAGTGTTGGGATCATGGCGTTTTTTTATTTCTATAAACATGGAAATTGCAACGATTAGTTGACAAATTCAGTCATTAGAAATATAACCGCCAACATTTCGATAATAGATTCATTGTTAAAGTATTTTCTCCTGAAATATATGGCAGAAAATACTGTTTTAGCCTCCCTAATATGTAGATTTCATGTTTTCCTGTGTTACAATATCTTAATAAACTGAATATATTTTTGGTTTTTGATAAACGGAAGACATTGGAACACCTTGCCTTGATCTTTAGGATGGACATTTTTCAATATCTTTGGACAGTAATGCCAGAGAAATAGGTGATTCCACAATATGACAAATAATCATGACTTTCAGCTCAAATAAACATGAACAAAGGTAGTGTTTGTAGATCGTGCAGCTTTCAAAGTGCTTTGTAAAATGTTGTTGTGTGTTCAGTTGTTCAGTAATTCATTATTTCATCATTTTTACCTCAAATATCTCCTCACGGCAGACCTCGATGCGGCAGTGGCCGGCCTGTGGTTGTTGCGCAGAGAGCTCCTGCCGCAGGATTTTCAGCTTCTGCACCAGGTCTCTCTTGTATTTGGGCACCGTCAGGCACTCCGCCTCCTCAGGCATCTGGGCGGGGGAGAGGGGCTGCGGCGGGACCCCGGTAACAACCTGCTCCTTCAACGGAGGCGTTTGACTGGAGGAATAATGTGAAGAGGATCCAAAGTCAGTCTGATTCACTAATTCACTTAAACAGCAGCATTAAACCATTTGTCCTGAGCAGCCTTTTCTTATTTGGACGTAGTGTATTACAGCTATCTACCATCACATTCCCATAAGTAGTTCTTATATTGGTTCTGGTTAGAGATGTCCCGATCCGATCACGTGATCGGGGATCGGAGCCGATCACGTGATTTTCAAAAGATCGGAATCGGGAGAAAAAAAATTGGGGATCGGGATTTTTTTATTTTTATAAATACTTTTTTTTTAATTTTGGATTCAATGTTACAAAACAAAAATGACCATGTTCAAGTCTTAAAGTCATCCTGAGGCCTTAGTTTTGGTTTCAAATGACAGAACATCATGTATGTGTTGCTTCTTTGGGGCTTGTTTTCATAGACCTGGTTGCTTATTTCTCTCAAATCTGGCAACAGAGTGGGCAGGGCGCAGTGTCTAATTGTAGCAGTAAGCTAACGAGTACTGAAAGCTTTATTTTGTTTTGATCCAATGCTGCACAACTGAACTGATCCAATGCTGCTGTGAAAGAAAGAAGCTATATCCATGTTGGATAGAATATCCAATTTAAATAAAAAAATAACCTTAAGGGACAACTTCAATGCTTTTTTTTCTCTTAATGCATTGCATAAAGATCGGATCGGGAAAAATCGGTATCGGCAAATTGTCAAAATCAAATGATCGGAATCGGATCGGGAGCAAAAAAAGGTGATCGGGACATCCAGAGTTCTAGTGTACTGCTTTTAGGCAACAGATGTATAGAAGTAAAAAGAGGAATCTGTCCTGAAGGGAATTCCCCAACCCCTCCATCTCAAATATTCTCCAACCGCTGAACTAGGAAGTTTTGTAAGAAATTCCCTCTTCAGCCCTCACTCCCCTCAAAGAAAAGAGCTCTAAACAGAGCCCTAAGCCCGGAGTAAATCTGATTCATACCTGAGGACAGGCCAGCCCTTTGACCAGACGTTTGAAAAATATCACTAGCAGGAAAGACAGAGATGGAGGTAAACCCTGGCTTAGCGAAGAGAAAGAGATAGACACAGGAAAATAAATATACAAAAGGAGAGAGGTGTAAGTATAGCAGGACGAACCTCTGACACATTTCTCTTTTCGTCTAACTCTGTTCCTTTCGATACATCTTTACTTCCTGTCAAGATTTTGATAAGGTATCCCTGCCCACCATCAACCACTACTTGAACTTCCAAGATACGACCACAGCCATTATTAACATACATTTTTGCAACTCTACAGTCTTGTTTCTGTCGAGTAACACACGTTCTGAAGATGCCTTTCTTTTAGCTGCAAATAACTTAGACTACAGCAACTGTTTTAAGTTCATGTTTCTCCTCTCTTGCTATTCAGAGCCTGTATATTTGAAAGCGATGAGTCGGCTTTAAAATACAATCTTGGCAAAGGTGAGCCATGGTCAGAGTTCTGGTGTCCCTGCCTCATTGTGGTGTCGGTGGTGGGGCGCCTGGGTGGGCCTCCTAAAAACATTATCCATCTCTCACTTCAACAGGACAGCAGCGCTCATTCTCCGGTAAGGAAACGCTGAGCCAGCAGAGGATTTCTTTAAAGGATGCTACTGTCCTCCGCTGGGAGAGGAGGCTGCTGTTGGCCAAACACAAGACTGAGCTGGTGTATAAAAAGGAAGGAGAGACCTTCTGAGGTAGCAGCGCATAGCCACCCACTTATTCCGACACTTGTACATTTGGGTTCTCTGGTTCAGTGGGTTTAAAAAAAAGCCTCATCTATTTGGGCTTTCCAAACTAAACGGGTGCAGTGTTTCACCAGTCTTTCCCTGTATAATCAAGTCCGCTGCTATTTATTTTATTGGCAGGCGCCGGGGCTCCTAGCATGTCAAAGAAAGGGTAAGACTGCAGTCCTGAAAACCACTTTAGGAAGGAGGAGGGGAAGAAAAGATGGCCTTAAAACAAAATGGAATGAGTTGCCTTTGGCTCGGAAGCTGAAGAACCATATAATAAAGCGTAATTCAAGCTCACTTTTTTTTCTCCTTCCGAGGGCACGGTGTAATTAAAAATACGTTTCGACATAGTTCATCGTCTTTGGTTTCCGAACGGGGACGAGCTCTGCATATTTGATGGTAAATATAGAAAATACAAGGACGGCAAAGCTGAATATCTGCCCGAGCCGAAAGAGAGGCTCTGACAGCTTGGATAAAAAAAACACCACTTGGGGAGAAATATAACTGTCAAACTCAATCCAAGAGCCAGAGGATTTCATTATTGTTATTCCAAGGTGGACGGAGCAGGAGGAAAAGGAGAAGTGAAGGAGTGTGCCAGAACTAAGTCACCTACACCTGAACCTGCAGAGTCATGATAGTCCTCCATCCTCAGACTGGGTGTGTGAGGTGAGGGAGTGCACGCACAAGAAAGCACGGCTGTGTGTGTGGAGAAAAAGCTCTTTTTAATGTCAGCCCGCACAGGTGGTCTGTAATGAGTGTTGAGTAGGTGTAGTGGTGTTAAAGCTACACCAACTCTCCCACTCTGCCCCCCACCCAGCCTGGAGAATCAAAGGCCCCTTTATGAGTCTGAGCATCAGCTGGTGCTGCAGAACGTGGAGTCAAAGTGTGTGCACTGAATTATTTACTTGGATAATATGTGTGTGTTTTGCCAGTAATTGTGTGATCTTTAACATTCTTCCCACCTAGCAAAATACCACATCTGTACACTTGTGTTGGTTTAAAACGTACAGGAAGTACAGGAAACCAGAAGCAGACAGACTGTAGTGATGAGACTGCGTACCGACAAAAGTATGTTGCATTTTACGACAGTCTCCAAGAATAAAGAATGAAAGCTTTGCAAAATGTTACCACAACAGGAAACAATCTGTGCTTTCTGCATAATTTGACTTATTGTATACAGCATGAGACCAAAAAGGTATCTGACACCTGAGTGTAGTACATTGTGCGTGCAAATACATAATAAATATAACTCTATATCCACCTACCTACCCACCTGTATCCCGCTCTATATCTATATACATGTGTGGGATGTATCGCTAACCCAGTAATTTGCATTTATTTATCTTTCATATTTAAATATAACCACACACCCATAATATACCAAGTATACTATAGTATATAATCATCGTTTCTTAAAACATCAATGCAAATGTTGATATAAATGTCATGAAGATGTATAACTTGGTGGGGAAAATACCTGCTGATGCCCACTAAACCTAAATCCAACTTAAAATACCTTGAGCAAACACTGATGTAATGGTTCAGACATATACTAGGTGCTGGTGCGAGGGAAGAAGCTGAGCATGTGAGAGACAGCGCGGCAGACCACAGTAATGCAGCTGTGGCTGACTGTCTGACCATTCAAGGCCTTCATTAGTCTGAAGTCAACGGCAAGCGGGCCGTCTGAGTCACACTAACACCAAGATGCATCCTGGAGGCTCCGTAGACTGAGGTGCAAACTGCAGACTCCCGATGTTGTAATGTCAAATTTGTTCCACGCAATCTGATCTTACAGACGAAACACAAACAGTTTCTAAAGGCACTGCACTCCGCTGGCTCTCACATGCAACCCCACTTCAACCACTACCTTTAATCTCCCTAAATGGAAACAGGTCAATGCAACGCTGCATCTTAGCGCGTGTGCGTGCGTGTCTGTGTGTGTGTGTGTGTGTGCGTGTGTTGAAATATCTTTAAATCCAGGTGTTGATAAAGGACAGATGTCCTGACAGTGAGCCAGCAGACAGGCTGATAACATTAACAGTTTTTGAAGCACAGAGGAGGCTGGGGGGGGCAAAAGTGTGCACTTGCCTACCTACCGGAGTGTTGTACATTGCACAGTTATTGCTGTGACATGGTCTGTATAAAAACATGTCTTGATCTTGTTTTCATTAATCAGTATGTATCACGGAAAGCTGCATTAGAAATTAAAGCTTGCTAATTTTGACCTTCAAGAAGCTCTCAAACTTTGTCTGGACTGCCTCAAATCTCTCCTAATAAGGAGTCGGACAGGCAGTTAATGATGCTGACTGGATAACATAGCTGAGCTTCAACTCACAACCAGAGGCTGTTCTGACACATATGGATACTATTTGACCAAATGACCAGATGTTGATTTCCCAAACATGTCTATCGTGCCAGCCGCTGTTATTGAAAGAGGTTTTGACTGAGAATTTGCACTAAAAAAGCAAAGGGGAAAGTCTCCACATCTCTCCATGTTTCTTTTGTTCTAATGACTCCTGCCTCACACACTGGCAGGCAGAAAGTACAGGGAGCTCCCCGACAGCCAAGATACACAGAGAACAAACCCAGAATTCAGTTCATCTATCAGGGATTCAAACAACTCACAGGTTCCTTCCACACGAATATCACAGCCTTGGTAGTTGTCATTTTATCGAGACGTACTGCTAAAGTACCTTATCAATGTGTGATAATATGAAAACTGTTGCTAAGCTAGCAGCCGATATGCTAACACAGGTTTAGTATTTTTTCAGGCCTTTCTGCTGTCTTTGCTGCAAGCAGTGGAGGCAGACTGCTGACAGACAAACAAACACACTGGAAGACCAACTGACAGCCCCTTACATTTTGTGGGGGTGTGTGTGTGTGTGTGCGCGCGTGTGTGTGTGTGTGAGAGAGTGTGTTTCAGACTTGAGTGACACCCACATGAAAGTCAACCCTGAGGAAGGTTATGTACGACGTGTATAAAACATACATATTGGACATTCCCCTGTGGAAACGTATATCACAGTCAGCATTTTCTCTCGCGACAATAACTGTGTGTGTGTGTGTGTGTGTGTGTGTGTGTGTGTGTGTGTGTGTGTGTGTGTGTGTTTGAGAGAAGCTTTGAGTGACGAGCTGCTGAAAATGCTTTATACAGACAGATACCAAGAGTGTATTGTGTGTGTGGGTTACCTGAGGTTAGTGTTTTGGCTTTCCATGGCCACACGGGAACCATTTGGACTTGGGCTGTACGGAAAAAAAAAACAGGAGAAGAGAAGGGAAAAATTCAGAGAAAGAATAAAAAGGGAGAAAAGAGAATGAAAACAATGGGAATGACAGAGATGAGGATTGGAGCATTGAAAGCACCATGGGACAAGATTAAAAAGAGCAGTGAGACAGGAGAAAGAGAGCAAGTAAACAAGTAAAAGGACACAAAGTAAAGGAATAAACGTAGATTAAAACAAGAAAAACAAATACAGAGAGAGGAAAATCAGGCCAAGATAGTTCCGTCATTGAGGAAGGCAGGAAGAGGAGGATGGGAAAAGAGCGTTGACAGAGACAGGCAGAACGGACATAAAGAGGACAAAAATATAAGGTGAGACGAATGAAACCAAGACAGCCATCAGTGATTGTCTTACAGCAGATATATTAATTGCAGGAAAAAAAGCAATATTTGATGTTCTTGGTCATTCAAATCTCAACTACAGCCGAGGTAATGTCCTCGAACATCCTGCCCTGTGGGCCTGAACACATCAGTGATTTATAGACTTACTTGAGTACTAGATGCAGGTTAGCAGAGAGTCGCGGGTCTGTGAACTGAGTTGTCCGGTTGTTGTGGTCGACAAAGTAGACGCGACCCGTGGCTGTGTTTCTTATCTCCCAGCCTGGAGGCAGCGGGCCCAGCTCCTCACAGTTCACATTGCTGAGATCCCTGAACAAATAAAACCAAAACCATCAGCTTCACACTACCAATGTGAATCTGGCTAAAACAAACAACTTTGACCCCCACACTGTGACGAGCTTAAGAACTATATCATTGATTAGCCTCACATTACATTACACTTGTTAACCCCAGATTCACACTCAGCTAAGGAACGATCTTTGTCCGTTCGCCTCGCTGTATGTGTGTTTTTCAGCATCATGTCATTCATTATTTGGCTTCCTCTTTGATGCATGTTACAATCTTGCACCTGGTCACTTTATTTGTAGAGGTTGACACTCCAACGTGCCAAAAAAACAAAAAATAAGAAATTCCACGCACATGCAGACATCTTCATACATTTCAAGTGTGGCATAGGTGAGTGTTGAAAGGGATAACAATGTTCAATACAATGTTTTTAAGAATCAATACAATGTTTTTACCCCAGCCTTCTATGGGCTTTTTTAAAGTTCATAGGTAAGTAGGAATAGTAAGTAGCGATCAGATTTTAACACAATTACACAGAAAACTGAACACCTTTTCAACTGATATTTAATAACCAAGACTAAATGTTAACCTTGCTAACATTTGATGAATATTGGCTGCCGTTTACATTCACATGAACTAGTACGTTGACTTTTTCTTCATAGCAGATTCACATAACTCAATCAGATCGCTCAAACAGAGCTCTCAACAGAACAAAGAGCATCGTCAACATTAACAAAGCCAATGCTGAAAAAGCCCTAATTTCCTGATTCTTCTACGCTCCTGTACACTGACATTCCCGTCAGTGGAAAGGTAAGCCATGATCTGGAACAACGCAAAAGCCTCAGGGCAACGTGTGTAGGGTGAATAAAGACAGGCAGACAGGTTTGTGTGAGAAAGGAAATTAGATGTTTGTGTATGGATCTGATGTGTGCGTCGGTGTAGTACTGTTGGTGCCAAGTTGTGGACTACACACTATTAAAAGGAGAGAGGAGGACAAAAGTTTGTGAAGGGTCTCAAAATTTATTGATGTCTGACTTAACTTTCGCGTATAAGTTCCGAGTCAAAAAAACGAGACGGAAAGAAATTTGTGCAAACCTTTTTTGTCCTCGATGTATTCATATAAGGTGTAACTTTCTTAAAAGAAAAAAGTCAATTCACTATGAAAAGTCGGTCTCACTTGGGGTGTTTGGTGTCTCATGACATTTTTTTATTAATAAATCACACCACGACGTACGGGACTAAAATAACATCTTAGCCCGTGTTACCGAAACGGGGGAACCTTTACAGGGCGACGCAGGTGACTGCGACCGGTTCAGCCTGTTTCACTCAGTGACTACGGGTTGCCGATACTCCGAAAGAAAAGAGGCGACTTGGGGGACTTGGTCACCGACCCACACACTACCTCTCTCCTCCCTCCCTCCCTCCCTCACACACACTCCCCTTTTTCTTCCCTCTCCACCCATCCTTTACTCAACACGGTCAAGACCTCAACCCCACACCATGCTACCTAATTCGCCACACGGTATATTGTGTGTACTGAGGTCTTGTGACTCGACACGTCGTTGTGTGTGAACGGTTGTAAGTGTGTGTTGTGTGTGTGTGTGTTTGTGTTGTGTGTGTGTGTGTGTGTGTGTGTGTGGTGTGTGTTGTGCTGTGTGTGTGGCCGGTTGTGTGGTGTGGTGTGAGGTAGAGGTCCTCGACCTCCCTTGGTGTCTAATTGCCAAGTCCATCTCCTTGGTAGGTAAATAAAAAACGACAGGAGCCAAGAGGGTCAACAAAATGTCGTTAGTAAAAAGCAACCAAACCTTCTGCTGTGTTTCAAAAGAAAAGGTAAAGGAAAACCAAAACATCTAATTACCCTTTCTAATGAAAGTCTCGTGTGTGTGTGGGGAAAACTCTTTGTCCTACGAGGATGATACATGTTCCTTTATTCGGGTGCTCAGAAACTATTCAGAAAGGGAATATAAATAAGGGGGGTAAGAACCCCTATCACTCTGAACCCTCCTACTCAACCCTGAAACCGTGGGTGAAATAGTTTTGCATTTCAAACGGATAGTGAAGTTTAATATTCTCCCGTCTCTAAGGGAAAGAGTTATGTGTTTAAGTATAGGTACGACATGCGTGGCTGCTCGTTGTGTCTAAAACTCTGCAGGCACAATAGTCACAACAAAAACGGTAAACTAGGTTTACTAAAGGAGAGAAAGAGGAAAATCTCGTTTCTTGTGAGTCGTCCCAGTGTCCAGGATGCAGGAGGTGTGCGTCTGACCCCAGTTCGTGTACCGTACTGGTGGGCACACGGGTCCGATTGAGGAAAAACTAAATATCAAAAGAGTGAAGCAATAACAGAATAACCATATGTTACATACGAGAAAACATCAATTACACTCACTAGGCTTTACCTTCATTTGGTAAACGTTTTTGTGTGTGACAGTTTCAGAGGATGTTTGTCCAAACAAGGACATACAGGTTGAAAAATTTTGGATGTTTGTGGTTGTAAAATTAGTCAATGAGAACCGAACCGGTCGGAGAGACGGGTCACGCAAAGCAAACCCTTTAACATAATTAATACAATACAGAACAATAAATAGCCGACTTACAGTCGGGAACACATTTTTTTTGAGAAACCTTGATACGATTCGCCTCTTCGCATTGACGTTACTTCATTACCGTCACTATGTTCTAGAGTGACTGGAGTTGTGTGGTGATTTGACTACAGAATGCACAACTACTCTTTGGGGATCACGCTTCAATTCACGTAAAAATTTGCGTACTTTTACGTTGACGTCACGACTGTCGGCATTCCATAATAGGAATATATTTTGGACTGGTATATAAGGGGTTTGCCCTGTGCTGGTTTGCCTGAACATTGAAAGACATAGGTCCATTGTAATCAGAATATCAGTATAAAGGTTCCTCAGTTCGGCCAGTCGGTTTGATCACTGGAGACTCAGGCTACACCTAAACCTTCTTTGTAAAAAACCCGTCGACAACTCGTTCTTTTACGATCACCAAGACGGTAAAGTTGTTTGAGAAAGTGACGCTGGTTATCGGCGTGAGCAATTAAGTGCCGTCTCTGGATAGTCCGCGATACTATAACACAATGTAGAAAACCGGTACAACGACGAGTCGTACTCTTGGGGGTGCACACTCAATTGTAGGTCTGAGTCGTCGTCGTCGGCGAAACCCAAACCAGTACAACCTGTCTCGAAAAGTTTTTACTGGCGTGCATACAACACTACCACCCGTCCGCTCCGTACGATGAGACAGCGCCGCCGCCTCACTACACAGCCGAGTGAAGTGTGTTCCTGTTTCGTGTGCTGTGTGGTGTGTGTGTGTGTGTTTGTTGTGTGTGTGTGTGTGTGTGTGTGGTGTGTGTGTACCTTGTGTGGTGTG